GGAATTTCCAAGCTAGCAACGAAGTCCAGTTGCGTGATTATCCTGATTGGTGGCATGATCTCCAGGCAAAGAAGCGAAGAGATGGAAGACTTGGGAAGGTTGGAACCGATAGAGGACAAGGAAAGGCTATTGTTGTTACTGCTAAGTCCCATCTCTCACTTGCTCCACCGATTGATCCATCCCGCGCCACAGCCTATCTATCGAACACAAGTACTATCGGCCATGGTTACTTTAACTCTCACCAAGATGAAGATCGTGACACATGGTTGTTGGACTTAGGGCCTCTAACCATATGACTTGGGATCCTATTGAATTTTCATCAACTTTCCCACCAAAACATGATATTCTAACGAAGGAGATCATTGGGCGTGGTATTACCAATGGGGACTTATACTACATGGATGATTTCAGTACTGGCTATGCACATCGCACGACTCATCCTTCTTTATTTTCCGATCGCTTGGAAGGGACAAAAAAAGATATTGTTGTTTCTTCAACAATTTCTGTGGGACATATATCCATTACGTGTATGAGACATTTGTTTCCTGATCTATTTTTACATTTGAAAACAAATGATTAAAGTGTAATACCTGCATTCTAGCCAAAAGTCATTGAACGTTGTTTCTAGTAAGCCAGAATAAATGTATTGCTCCTTTTGCTTTAATTCATTCTGACATCTAGGGTCCATCTCCAATTTCTACTAAAAAAAACCCTAAACCCTAAACCCTAAACCCCTAAAACCCTAACCCCTAAACCCTAAACCCTAACCCCTAAACCCTAAACCCTAAACCCCAAACCCTAACCCCAAACCCCAAACCCTAAACCCTAAACCCAAACCCTAAACCCTAAACCCTAAACCAGGTTGCGTGCTCTCGTCCACGCCCTCAAGAATATGCTAAGTGCTGTGCTGGGGATTCCAATAGGGTTATCGGCTAACTTAGCAGGGTCAGGGGATCACATGTGGAAGATGGATATACGAACTACTGTTCCCCTTCAAGAAGGATATAGAAACTGCCTAGGAATGCCTAAAAATAAGCCTACGTCCTAGACATGTGCTGCACACTGTGTACCAGAAACCCTAAACCCTAAACCCCAAACCATAAGCCTAAGCCCTGAAACCTAAACCCTGGATCGTGAACCCTGAACCTTGGACGCTGAACCCTGAACCCTAAACCTGGGACCAACTGAACACTTTCTCTCTCTACCTCCAAAACGCTCTCCCTTCTCTCTAGAATGGGAGAAACCCACCAAAACTCCAATAAACCCGATCCACCACCAAAACCACCGGATTGCAGCACTCTAAATGGTGGAAAATCATCACCAACAACCACCCAAACATCTCCTATAACAATAGATTTGAGTTTGAAAAATCATGGCACGAATCCCAAGGTCATTGAAACACCCACTTCTGATCCGAATTTGGACATGGGACCATCACCAATGAACTCAGAAGGCCCAAAAACCCCTAGGGTGGTGTCCTCGACGTCCAATTTGGCCGGATTTGAAGCATTGGAAAAAGTACAGCTCGAAACTGATTTTGAAATTAATTCTCGTACGATGGTCCAACAGATACACGTGCCAGATATTCAGAATGCCCATGAGATGGTGAACCTTCGGTCAAAAAATAATGGCAATCGGAGGTCGGACGCTCCTATTACGGCACCAAACGTAAACGGGCAGTTTGTCGAAAAATTGCAATTTTCGGCCTCTACGGTTCTCACCTAGGGAAACGCGCCTGACCGCGTTATTCAGCATGAAATTCCGCACAAGATTGTTGAAAATCATAAATTTCTGCCTCCGGTTGATTTTGGCCGGAAAACGGAGCCGCTAGCGGCCGGCCGGCGGCGTCCCGGCGGCCCTCCGGCAACTTTTGATCAGAATGTTCTTCCAGTTAATTTGAATCCATTTTCATCATCGGTTTTTCCACATGAGGCCCAGACAGTGCTCAATCAGGGCCGAAAGACATATGCAACTGCAGTTTCTAGCCGTCCGGGCCTGTCTCAAGCTGAACGGAGTTCACGGAAGTCGTTTGCATCGGTTGTACAGGGTATAGATGACTCTTCCACTGCTGGGTTTCCTGCTAAAGAACCCTTTATACATATGGGTGAGCCGGCAATAGTTTTGACTGAGTCCGAGGAGGCTACACTCGCTGATCCTTACAAGTATACACTTGTGGGGAAATTTCCACATCGCAAGCCAATCATGAGGAAGGTACGTGAGATTTTTTCTAAGTTTGGGTTCCATGGTTGTTTCGAGGTGGGACTGATTGACACAACACACATTCTTATACACCTTACACATGAGGAGGATTACAGCAGGCTTTTTCTTAAACCTTCATGGTATATTGATGGTTGTCCGATGAGAGTCCTTAAGTGGACATGTGACTTTACACCTAAGCAAGAGACTCTGATAGTTCCCGTATGGGTATCGTTCCCTCTGCTTCCAGTACATTTACGTGCGAAAGGGTTCCTTTTCGCATTATCTGGGGCAATAGGAATGCCC